GTAGGTGTTCACCTGGAAATAGTCAGCGGCCATCAACTACTCTACACAATTAACTATGATGAGATGATGGATAATGCAGTTGCCAATTTTAAAATAAAAATAATTCTGAATGCTTCCTACAAATTTCATTCATATTAAACTGAACTCACTGTGGCCAATTTTAAGCACTTTTATTGAACTAAATTAATTATTATAAGTATAATGTCAAGGTCATAACTGGAATTGACTCAAAAGATCAGTGATTCAATAATGACAACGAACAGAACAACCTAGTTACCAGGTGGTATTTGTGGTATGCTCCCATTCTTGCCTATCCACATTTCAGGAGAAAGTCCTGAACCTTTACAGACTACCACCATTCTTTGCCACCTGAATTCTGTTAATTCGTATGCTCAATTCTAAGCTTCATTTGACACACACACACACACACACACACACACACACACAAAAGAAATGAAAAAGCTAAAGTACCACACAGCATATATTAAATAGAGCTCCTAATTACTGACGCTAAAACCCCCCAATTTGCAGACGTTCTGTTTTGCTTCCATGCACAACAGACAGGTGTAAACACAGTTTCCAGCTCACTCTTAAAAACACACACCACAGATGAGCAACGCCATACTGCCTCAGCCCTCCCTGTACACTGACACGGACACATGAAAGAGAGAAAAGCAGCATGAAACATGGGAGTTATTTCTCAGTAAACTAGACTGTAAGTTCTCTCCATCAAGGACAGCTCCTCTGTTTCTTTTGTGATAACAAAGAAATCTTGCAGAGCTTTTGATTTGTTTTGAAATAAGTGCATGATATATCAGCCTGAGCATGTAAATACTGAAATGAAGAAACTGCAGGAAGTTACACTGAAGAGTGATAAAAAGAAAAGAGGGCAGCAGTGGGGGCAGCAGGAGGAAGTGGCAATTGATGGTAAAAGGACAATCAAGAAGCCATATTCATTGAAGAGTTAAGATTTAGTGGCCTTTGTTTTACATCAGTGTGGGCAAAAATCACTTTTAAGGTCTCTAATGAAAGCTGAAAGTTACCTTCAAAAAGTTATGCATATTTCAACAGAAATAAAAATCATTATGCATTCTCTCTAAAGGGGATACAATCTAAAACTGTCAAAATTCTAAACTCTTCTACATATATTACATACAAATGCCTTCTATAGAGAAATCTCTTTTCATTTTTCTTCCAAATTAGCTTAGTGGTCCATGGTATTGCACTATCTTGGTCTAGTCTGTGAATAATGTGACAGGTAATTTTTATAGTTCATGCCTGTACTTAAGTTTGACTGAAGATACGGAAAACAACTTTTATGGTGTAGGTGTAAAAGTAAATGTTCTGTAAGCCCTGCAAATCCAAACTTGGACAGCTATCATAAAATATTTCATGCTAAATATGTGTCCATCAATAAATAGCAAAAAAAAATTCCAAACCCACAAAACAGAAGGTAGGGGATTTTAATACGGTTTTTGTTGTTGTTTTAGGTTTGGGGTTTTTGGTTTTGCTTTGTGCACTAACGTGTTTTCTCAAAACAAAATGCTAATGCTAACATTCATGCAATCTGCCACATTATTGCAGAAGGGATTTAAGATTCTTTGTTATCAAACAGAAATCATTATGAAATGGAATGTACTGAGAAAGATGAATACTATGCAGATAACACAGAAAACCATCTAGCTCCAATTAAAAAAAATTGGATGCCTCATGAAACTGTAGTCTACAATGCCACAGAAATGGGACAGAAACAGTCAATTTACATCATGAAAAAGAGCTCAAAATAGCTCCATCAAAACAGAAGAAAAGCTCCAGTGTCAGCTTATATTTGCAAACGACCAGAAGGGTTTCAAAATGCTGAGCAGTCTGGTGCTTCATTTCCAATGCTCAGGAAACAATCAAATCTCCAACTGAAACCACAGCAAATCCAGATTATATTTCTCTTGTACCTAAACGTTAGGCAGCCACAGTCTCTATGATTTACATACGTTCTTGTACTTGAGCAAGCACGATATAAACTGCTAAGAAAGACATAATAAAAATGAATTCTGTTATGTAAACTTGAAAAATAGGAAGGTAAGGAAAAAGCTAAATTGGAAAAAGAAGTTAAACTTTTCAAGTAGAAGTGCAGCGGTTTGGTGGAATCCATGTGGATGAAGTGTGACTCCAGAGAGAGAAATAATGTTCTATATAATCACTTGGATGGAAATTAATCATTAGTCTGAAAAGCATGACTTTTCAGAGTAAGAGGATCAGAAAAAGATGATCAGCATTCCTCCTCTGGAAATCAGAACATGGTCCTCACACAGAGGTAAAACCCGTGTGTGTCAGAGGTTAGGAGAGGAAGGCTTTCTCCAGCAATTGAAGACAATTCCTGGAAATGGTGTTACATCTTCTTCCATCTGAGAAATTCTTCCAAGCTTACCTCTTACTGGCAGATCAAAATGCTGTGTATTTTCTACTAGTAAATAAGTGAATTTAATTTCACTTGGTGCATTTTCTATATGAGTGTACTTAAAATGTAGTTTACTAGCAGACTTAGATCTGACCATAGGCATTTGCCATGCAGATTTAATCTCCCCAAGGCTCTGCTTCAACTTCTTAGATAATTTCAAGCAAGTTTTTTACTTGCTCTTCTGGTCTGAACATTTCCTCTTGCAGCTTTTATTTCCCCTTATTTACACCCCAGGTTGCTACCAATGAAAAGCTTTTACAACCTCCCCTCCAAGGACCGGCATTACACTTGCTGTGTAACAACTGCATTGCAAACGCTGACCTATAACTACTGCTTTGTAGACAGACTACCAAGCACAGATCTCAAACCACTTTTCTCTAAACCAGAGTTTTTTTCTGCACATAGAATAGTGCTTATACAAACAGTGTCTATTCTACGTGACACTGCATGCTATCTGACAGGTGGGTAAAGTAAACAACTAGCTTATATTCCAAAATAAAAGAACTTCCTGAGTAGGTCACAGCAGTGAAAGGGACAGCAGAAAAAAGCAACCTAGTCTAGAAAAACACATAAAATCATTCACTTTCAGAAATCTGTCTTCCTGAACACAAATCTTTGCACAAATAAAGCATACGAACCCGAGGCACTACTTAGAAAGTGGAATGGCTTGGAAGTAAACAATTAAAAATCACTCCCCATACCTCAAACAGACCACTTCCAGTCATTTACCTGCACAAGAGAACTTCCTATAATATTTATTAATTCAGCTATAAACCCAGCATAGTTTCTGTCTGCCTTACAAAAATAGCATCCCTGCTTGATACAAGAAACAGAATCCTCAGCTTGTCCCCAAATGCCTTGTCTGGTAGAATATAACAAACTACACAAGGCACTGAGCCCATGTTTTGATGCACTGGTAATAATCAGTACAATGAATAACAAATAAAAAGCAAGGAATCCAAATTTAATCACTATGTGAAACTTAACTTTTCTGAAAAAAGTCTGCCTTCTTGCCAGCAGAAAGTTTCAAATTTTGTTAAGCAGATTTACTTCTCACATAAAATAGATTTCATGATGTCAATGCATCCTGTGGTCTGAGAAGTACATCAACTTCAAAAGTGAAGTAATGTGCAACTGGTTTAATTCTACGAAATGAATTTGCAAGGGGGACAAAAGCTGCATTTTGAAAGAGAATCAAATTCTGTTTGTTTAAGCAAATATGAAAACTTTTTTTTTTTTTTTTTTTACAAGTTTAATTGTATTGCTGAATCATTTTGATAGAAAAAATGTACAGCTGCAAAGTTAACTGAATGTGAAAAACTACTTTTTCCTTTTAGCCAAAGGAACCTTCAGTGATCGTGTTGGAAATGTTGCTGGGAAAGAATCATTATTTTGATATACTAACGTCTGCAGATTCTTTCTCATGCTCTATAGATCCTGTATGAGCAGATCTGGAGTGAAAAACTATGCGGAACAGCTGCTAAGTGACAACAGAAATGTGCAGCAGATGACAAGCCTGTCACAAACATTGCACTCACAGAGCTTCTGCCTTCACATTTTCCTTAAAGACTTTGCATTGTGTTTAACCTGAAATGGAATACTTTTTGCCTAATAGGTGCAGTGATGTTTAGAAACAAAAAAAGACTGTTTATTTATATCAATTCTTGACTTCATCTACTTTAATTCACACATCTTCATGATAACGCTTCAACATTTGGCATATTTCTGCTTTGTTTTGCATTTGTGAAATGGAAGCATTTTAGCATACAGTGTCAGGAAGTGCTCCAGTTCTACTAACTTCCAGTTTTGTTTGTGAACTTTGGAACATGTGCACATACAAAGATATGTACAGTGTAAGAACAACAAAGAGAGGAATTGGAAGTCTGTACATTTTACATTTACAATAAAGCACACACCCTTTTTCACAACTGCTGTTTTTCAAAACAACTAATGCCAGCTGACCAGATCAGGGTAAGTTTGAGTTGTCCATGAGCAAATATAACCTATAGTAGTGACGGCCTAGGAAGGACAAACCTTCCAAGCAGATTATTCTTGTTTAATTCCAAGCTGGTCTGCAAATAAAAGAGCATGAAGACTCCAATCAAGTGCAATCAAGATCTTTAGAACCAATACATACGCTAGAGAGGCATGTTTGGCCCTCAGAATGAAGATGCATATAAAAATAATTTTGAAGGCTGTCTCACCCTACTTTGCAGAAATGGAAATACACATCAGAACTTATTTCCTCTATGTTGGGTTAGATCATAAATAACCTATAATACCAATGAGTAATATTAATGTTGTTAACACACTGTTCTGCAACATTTTTTCCTGCTTTTTCTTTGTTCTAAACTCTTCTCTGTTTGTTTGAACATTGTAGTCGTATAAGACTGGAAGCTTTAAAGTTCTGTGGTAATCTGTTGAAGATCAAAAAACTGTACCATTATAACCTTCAAGAATACATCTGGCATGTAAGGATACAACGGAGGAAACCTTATTCTAGCTTTCTGCTATTTGCAGTTTGTTTATTTTTATTTGTAACTACCTCTGATGTGTTGATATCCTCATAAGAAAACTGCACTGCAGGTACTCCAAGATGGTTGATGAAGTAATCGGAATCTCCCTGTATCTGCACAGAACTCACATTAGATCCTGGACATTTCATCTTTTCCACACAGTTGATGCTCTGACTCTGAAAAACAAACACAAATCAAAGCTCCACTTATTTATTTGCAACCAGACACTTAACAACTCATATCAGCATACCATTTACACACTATTTTGCTCAAAGCACTTCAAAAACAGGCTGGAACTTACAACAGGGTAGGCAGGTATTAGCTGATTCATACTTACTTTGGGCGAGGTGATCTTTGTGGTCTTTTCCAACCTTAGTGTTTCTGTACCTGGTAGGGAGTCTACAGAGCTTTCATCATCTACTGATGATATGATGCAGTGTTTGGAACAGGGAATAATGAGTACACTACAAGATGTCTGAGACTTTCAAAGGACAATGAAAGTCACATCTGACTGAAATGGTAGGAGAGGAAGAAGAAGAATTCTTCAGTAGCATGTGAAATTTTCCAAATAGGACAGGAGATTAAAGGTATCTTTTGATAACATGCCCAGAGATCTTTAATGGCTGCTACACAATCATTCTTTTTTCAGTTGTGGAGTTCAGAATGTTTTGCATTCATCAAACAAATAGGACAATATAATGAACTTGAAGATAACGAATAATAACATCATGCAATTAATAAAAAAATTCCATAAGTGAAATGTTAAAGTTGGGGAAAGTAGGGGCAAACTATCAACTGAGTTGATGCAAGAACAGCAGCCCATCATACAGCATGCCATACATTCTACATACAATAAATAAATCAAAGTAAATAAGAGTTGTGATTTGAAGGACTGTTGTTTTCTAGGGATGGGGGAGACTGAGCATTCCACATTAGATGAAGTGAAAAGACCAAAAAAACTGAAAAAGAAGTCTGCACAAAAAGAATGGATCATGGAGGCTAGAAGATCACAATAACATGAAGTGTATTAAGACACTGAAAGAATCAGCAATGCAAGTAATTGCTTCCACTTCTTCCTTTCTTATTATTCATTAATAATTCAGTATAAGAAAAGATATTAAGGAATCATTTAGTGGAATAAGATGCAAAAATGAGATACTCTTAGTGTGCAGAAGGATGATGGGAGGCATGGGAATGAGGGGAAATGGGATGGGAGTAATTAGGTAGTGGAACTATTTTAAAAATATATCTAGAATAAACAATCAGCAACATGCTCTGTAACAACTCCCTCCCTTTTGCAGAGCAGACAAACTAGAACACTTTATTGCAGTTTTACAGTAAACATGCACGATAGCATATTCAGATCACTCATAATTTTTCAGGCTTGTCTCTATTGTGTCACTCAGCCCTCCCTTTATGCTGGAAGGAAAGCAAGCCATGTGGTTAGAGAGTAAGCATCTAGTGGTACATGTCAGTGCAAGGATGTGTATGCTAATCGTAATTGGGTAATTTTATTTCTCTGGAGTTCATTTTGTTTTTCAGCATCATGTTATTGGCTCATATTACAAATGTGAGAAAGAGTACCATATGGCCCATAAAATACATTTAATTTGTATTAATGTTATAAAGTAGACCTCAAACATTTAAAGTATAATAAAGTGGTACTTCACTGCAGACATCATTTTTCTGTTGATTAGAGTTAAGCATTCATAATGCCTTTTACTGCTACATTAAGATGCTGCCATAAGTAAAAACCTAAATTAAAAACAAAAAATAAAAAACCAATGGTTATTTCCACAGTCCACTTTCCACCTAGAGACACTTACTTGTCAGTAAGTTCAGGTCACCTACCTTTCTTTAAGTGAATACAGCTGAAATTAAAATCCTAGCTGCTTTGAAGACTGATTTAAATGTCCAAGCAGTTTTCAATAGGACAAATAAAGAGTGACTAATTGTTCCTACAAGGTGCCACCAATGCCAGCTTCAGAACCACAGCACAGAAGCTTATTATTCATGAATAATTAAACCTCTATTTCTTGAAATGAATAGCTACTTGGGTTAGTAACTAGTGCAAGGCAAACACGCTATAGGAGATAAGACCATCTAGATGAAGTCAAATTATCTAAAAAGAAAACAGCTACAGAATTTATCAAGTTGATCACAGATCATGGAAAAATGCAGAAAAAAACAAAACAGATATACTGGATTATATCACAGCAGTGCTCAGCTGAAATGGCACAGGTTTTTTCAAACACATCCAATGGAATGTGCAGAGAAAGTCCGTGGGGATGAAGAAGAACGGGATCCTCGTCACAAGGCAAATTAGCATCTTAGTTACTGCAAACATGTTAAGCTGAATCATCATCAACAGACAGAAAAGGCCAAGGAAGGTGCATTGCAAAGGATTCATGAGTACGCATCTCTCACCCATTAAATCTTGCCACAATCCAACAAATGAATCACTAGAAGGTCTGAGAGCTCATAAAGATATTATTAGCTCTTTGCCTGCTCTATGAAAATTGGATGAAAAAAGCACACAGTTTCTAGGAATTATAATTAATTCCACAGCAAGCACACTCCTCTGTTTTCTCCCCTCTGATTACTGGTTTGGCTATAATCATCCTGCTTTGCTCTCCTTCTTTGCTGATTGATCATATATATTACCATTAATGCAAATTAGGTGTTTATAAAATTATAAGGGACATTTTATGCCATGCTTTCCTATTTAGTACTTAAGGTACTTTTCAAATCGACTAAACACAATGCAAGGTACCTGATATCTCAGTCCCATCTACCATCACAGATAGAAAGTTGACATTTCCCAAATTCTGAGTCCTGCCAAATTGTCATGATTCAAATATGTACATAAGCATCATTATAAATTAGACCCATTCATTCATTTTTTTCTGCAGAAGAAAAAGAAAACCTAAATGTCCTACTGATAAGGAATATGCTACACACAGTGAATAGCTGTGGTATAAGTAACCTAAGTTTTACACACCACTAAATTTAAGAGAGGAGCTATCTATCTGCATAATGCAATCATGATTACCCACATCATTTTATGGACATAATAAAGACATTTAAAAAGGGATGGGGTAGTTAATTAACTAGCACACAGTAAACTAGCACTGAGCAAAGCAGTCATTTCAAAGCACTTGCATGTCTTTTACCTCTCTTTTGCCAATAATGGCAAAGTTCAAAATGCACTTCAAATCCATGATGATCTTTGATTCTTTGATGCTGTATGAGACACTGAAATGCAACTAACCAGCTTCATCTGATGATATTTCTACTACTTGCCAGCATATTTAGTCAACATTTATATAACAAAGTAGAGTAGGAATGCTGAAGAAAAACAATCAATCTTTAGACATAGGCTGTAAGTGTTCGGAATAAGTTAAGTGTGGTTAAAACTTCAAGAAATCTTCTCAGACAGTGATCAAAATCTGCTGCTTTGATTTTGTATTTAAAATAAGATATTGGGTCCTTAATTTCTCAGCAATTACTTACTTCCAGTTTATGCATATACTTATGTAAATATGTATGAGATTTTACTTAAAATATCTAAAATCCAAATGCTGTTAATTAACTTTTAATGGCAACATGAAAACCTTTACTGAAACAAGGTAAGTCACATAAAGAATGCATTTACCTCTCAGAAGATTCCCTAGTTTTATCCCTCAGTACTTTTGCAGTAAAATGAAAATATTCCCTCTAAGAACACAGACATTTCATTCAGAGGACTGTCTTGTCACCAGGGGGAAAATAGCAGATAACAAAAGCCTCTCACCAAACTAGTGTTTATTTAAAGATATCAAGGACAAAGAACACCTCTAGGGAATTTAGCATCATCTACAATCCTTCTGAAACCCATCACAGTGCATATGGTTCTCAAACAGGTCACTAGAGACACCAAGGGATCACCACTGCCCCAATAGAAATTTCCTACAAGGTACTCTTTATTTACTCACAAAACTACTGTATCTTGAAATTCTAAGAGAATTCTTAGTTCTAGCCTGCACTGAAAGAAATCATTACAGTTTCACTAACATGAAGTGCCTCTCAGATAAACCATACATTTTTCAAGGAATTTTTCAGTTAAAATGCATGCAGTTGTCCCGCATGTCAGAGAAGACCTTTTTCATCACGGGGGAGCAGTGAAAATTATGATCACTACAATGCTTACGAAAGTGTTCAAGAAACATGTAGATGTTGTACTAAGGTACGTGGTTTAGCGGAGAAATATTGGTAGCAGGTGGATGGTTGAACTAGATGACGTTGAAGGTCTTTTCCAACCTTGGTGGTTATGTGAAAAGTGCAGACCAAACGGAGATTAGCCAAGGCTCTCTTCTGATAATAAATTCAGATTTCTAATGAGCCAAGGAAAATTCAAGTTTAACTACACAACATGAAGTGCAATACTTAAAAAAGTCCAATTTTAACACTCAAAAAAAGTAAAATGAGTTTGGCCTTTTGAAGACAACTTCCTAACAAAACTGGTAAACCAATGGTTAAAGAAAGCATGGATAAAGATATCTGCTTGCTGGGAGATGTTTAAATACAATATTATGTGCTGTACTACTTTACAGATGAAAATTGTTTAATTTAGAGCTACAAATCATCAAACAACCATAAGCCTGTACTGCTTGTTCAAGGCTGACTTTTTCATCAAGCAGTACATGCATGTTTTTGAAGTCACTGTTTGTTTGTGATTTCATTTTTATATATGATCATCAGTGTAAGGTCATTATAGTAAACGAGACCGCACAGGAATGAACAACATTTCAGAGGCAAAGTATAAATCAAACTGGTAAAAAATACAAAGGAAGGTACTGCAAAATTATATAGCTTAAATTTCTTACTGGACCTTTTCTTCATTTCCCTTTGTTTGCTGACAGTCTCTCTGATTCCTGATGCTTTTCATATGACACTGAATTACATTTATCCTTTCTATACCTAAATTGAAGTCATGTGCCCCATTAACATGTTGCTGGCACCCAGTACAAACTGCAAGGAATTTTAATGGTTTTGGTGAGGAAGGTAAAAATCAAGCAGGTGTGTTTGCATTTGATAACAGAATTTGAGACCAATCAAGTATTTAAAGCTAAAATTACAAAGCATGACCATCAGCAGTTCCAAAAATTTCACTATCTGAAAAATAGAAGGAATTTAA